CCCCGCCCCCTCGCCTGCCCGCCCGGGCCGGCGCCGCCGTCGCTCACTCACTTTGGCCTCCACCAGCTCCGCCGCCATCTTGGCCACCAGCGTCCCCAGCGCCGGGAGCCCCCAGTCGTCGCGTCACGTGACCGCCCTCCACTCGCGGGCGGGGCCACAGCAGCGGCCAATAAACGTCCGCACTGCCTCCTCCCCCGCGGCTCCCGCTTCCGCGCGCTGCGCCTGCGTGCACGGCCGCCTCCCGGACCTCAGGCCAATCAAGGTGGCCAGTTGTTGCCCCTCCTACGTCCGCGGCGACCACGCCCACCCCGACAGTTTCTCGCTTCTTAAAGGGACCGGAACCCTGCGCGGGCTGGGATGGGCGAGGATCCTTCCGGGGTGCGAGGGAGTGTGGGTGCGGTGGCGCAGACAACAATGCTACCAGGTGCTGCGGCTCCGCGCGTTGGGCAGCTGCCAGGTGTGTGCCCGGGCGCCTGGCAGCATGGGGCTGGTGAGGAAGAGCATGGTAGTAGTAGGAAACCGTCGTTCAACTGAAGCGGGTGCCCGCGCTGGCCACATGCGCTGCACATCCGGGTCCTGGGGCGGGGGGCGGGGGGCGGGCTCTGCTGCCCCTGGCCTGCGGTGGCTGAGAAATACAGAACCGCTTCCCAAATTCCGCGGAGCTCTGGCAACCTGCTTCCCTTTGCGGGCAACAATCCCATCTCCTTCACCCTTTTGGAATCCCAACCTCTCTTACTCAAACACACTCTTTGACTCCCTAGTGCCCACAGACAGCGGATCTCATTTTTTCCTGTGTCAAAAAGCGAGAAGTAAAAAAATGTATTCGATTCCAAGACCTATGTCCTAAGATTCTAATTTTCAGGTGCAAAAATTAAAAGAGGTGCCATGAACCACTGCTTCTGCTTTCTCTTAACAAGAGACCAAAAGAACTAGGTTGTACCCAATTACGGCACCAAACATTACCATCTAGGACCCAATGTTGTTATTAAGTACCATGGCGTCGGTTCCGACTCATAGTGACCCTGCACAGGGTTTCCGAGGCTGCAGATCTTTATGGGAGCAGAAAGCTTCATCTTTCATCTGCGGAAGAGCTGGTAGTTTCGAACTGCCGACCTTGAGATTAGCAGCCCAATTCGTAACCACTACGCTACCAGAGTTCCCCTAGGACCCAATAGGGGGATATAAAGATAGAAATAAAGGAGAGATATAACAACTTCAAATTCCTTCAATACAGCACTATTCAGAATAGCAAAAAGATGGAGACAGCCTATTTAGGCTGTCAACAGAAAAATGCTTAAACTTTGGTACATACACACAATGGAAAACTATACAACGTTGAAGAATGATGGGTCTGCAAAACACCTCACAACATGGTTGAACCTGGAAGACATTATGTTGACAGAGATTTGTTGTTTATTGCTGTTCGTAGGGACTCATAGCGACCCTGTGTAAGGTTTCCAAGTATCGAATGGTAGATTTGAACTGCCAGCCTTGTGAGTTGCAGTCCAGTGCTTACCGACAGCACCACACCAGGACTCATAAGTAAAATCACAAAAGGACAGATATTGTATGAGCCCACATTGTTGTCAAAAGTTAGGAAAAGTTTTAATGCTAAGACATTCTACGATGGTTACCAGGCATGGGAGGGAAATGAAAATTACTCACTGACTAGAGGGTAGACACATGTTTACTTGGGTGACTGGGAAAGACAATTTAAAATAAATAAATAAATAAATAAACAGCAAAATTGTGAAATTTAGGGAAAAAAACACTAAATTCTCTATTCATAATTGTTAAATACTGGGAGCAGCCAAGATGCCCTTCCATAAGTGAATATTCAAAAAATTAATTAAAAAAAAAAGTTGGACCCTACCCAGAGAAATAGAGATGCCTGAGATAAAGACAGAGATGATGGCGTGGAGTGATGAAGCAACTGGGGACTTTGGACCTAGAGAGGGAAAGGGACTGTGGGCCGAAAACTAGGGGGAGGAGGGGGAAGTATAGGGGGCGGGTTTCTGGGATATACCCTTTGGGTGGTTGAGGATGCATGTAAGGGATTGGAACCATGGCAGTGAGATGATATACGATGGAATGAATGTAAAACTAAAGTTCTCCCATGTAAACTATCATAGAATTCACAATAAAACATTAAAAAAAAAAAAGTTGGTAGAATTCTTCCATTTCTTAAACTCGTCTTCCTTGTGTGCCATTTAGTCAGTTCCAACTCATAGCAATCCTATATAGGGTTTCCAAGGAGTGCCTGGTGAGTTTGAACCACCAACCTTGTAGTTCAAACCAACCTTGAGGTCTAGTGTTTATCCTACCCCGCCATGCATCAGGTCTTCCTTGTAGGGGTCTGAATATTTTCCTATCACAGGCTGCACTGTACTTCAGGATAGATTTTGAAATGTTCTTTTTGACAACGAATGCAACACCATTCCTCTTCAATTTGTCGTTCCTGGCGGACGTAGTAAACCAAATGATTGTCTGATTAAAAATGGCCAATACCACGTAGTGGTTACAAATCGGGCTGCAAACCTTAAGGTCAGTAGTTTGAAACTACCAGCTGTTCCGTGGGAGAAAAATGAGGCTTTCTGCTCCCATAAAGATTTACAGCCTCGGAAACCCTGTACAAGGGCGCTATGAGTCAGAACCGACTCCACGGCACTTAACAAGAACAATACCAGTTCATACTTACGAAGTCAGTCTTTATGTTTGTGATTTCTAGAGAGTCAATAAAATCCCAATTCATTAAAAGCAAAACAAAAAAACCTTCAAATTCCCAGAGACTGACTGGACCCATTAAGGTTGGAGGAATCTGTAGAATACCTTCAAAACTTGAACCAAAATCATTCCCTGAAGTCATCTTTAAACAAAAACCATTTAGATCAAAAAGTAAAGAATGTCAGCCTTAAATATTGCACTTTAAAAATATACATTATATATACATTATTATTCTTAAGTGCCATGGAGTTGTTTCTAACTCAGAGCAACCTTGTGTAGGTTTCTAAAGAGCAGCTGATGACTTTGAACTGCTAACCTAGAGGTTGGAGCAACCTTACGGTCCAGTACATGTCTTACAGTGCCACACCAGGATTCCAGTATATATATAGATATGTGGTAAAATAACTTATTAGACAGTAATGCAAATTGTTTTCTGATTAAGAATTATATTTAAGGTTTCATGTTGGTAGGTTTCAGAATTTAGGTTAATTTGTAACTAATTCTAAATGCACATGCTTCTCAATGATTCAATGTTTTTATAAGGGACCCTTGGTGTGGTGCTGTGGGTTAACGCTCTGGACTGTAAAGTCAGTCATTTGAACTACCAGGTCAGCGGTTCAAGCTCACCAGCTGCTCTTTGGAAACCCTCTACAGGTTCGCTAGGGGTCGGAACCTCGGAACTGACTTAAAAGCAGCTAACAACAACAGCAATGTAAATGAAGTGGAATTATCTAAGCTATTTATGTTTACAGAATGTTAGAATGCTGATTTAGAAATTAAAAGGACTTTTATGATTTTTCATGCTCACGCGGTGGCTCCATAGGCTAAACACTGGACTATGAACCACACAGGTCAGCAGCTTGAGCCCAGCAGAAACTCCATGGAGAAAAACAAGGCTTTCTGCACCCACAAATTTATAAAGCCTCGGAAACCCTGTTCAGGGTTGTTATGAGTTGGAACGTACGACACTTAACAATAGCAACACACACACATATAAAAGCCCAAAGTGACAGCCCACTGTCATCTACTCAAGTCAGACTCACAGTGTCCTATTTAGGGTTTCCAAGACTGTAAATCTTGACCGCGGGTGGATTTGAACCACTGAACTTGTGGTTAGCACTCCAGAGCTCCTACAACACAACCTGGCCTCCTTAAAATAGCAGTACTTTTAAGTGCTGTCAAATCCCTTCCAAAACCTTGTGTAGGGTTTCCAAGGAGCAGCTGGTGAGTTTGAACTGCCAATCTTGTGGTTCAAAGCAACCTTGTGGTCCAGTGCTGATCCTACGGCACCACACCATCTAAACCATAGATGAGAATTTTAGGGGGCAATGAGTCCAAATTGTTGCATGAAGTCAGTTACACCTCATAGTGGCCTCAGGTACAAGAGAACAAAACCTGCCCCGTCCTGCGCCATCCCCACAACTGCTGTTGCAACCACTGTGCCAATCCATCTTGTCAAGGGTCTTCCTCTTTTTTGTTGACCCTCCACGTTACCAAACATGATGTCCTAAAGTAGTGGTGGTGGTGTTTATGTACCATGGAGTCAGTTCCAACTCATAGCGACCCTGTACAGGGTTTCTGAGGCTGTAAATCTTTTTTTTTTTAAGGTTTTTATTGTGGATTGAGTGAAAGTTTACAGGACACATCATCGGTTTCACATTCAACCATTCATATGACTTGTTTCATTACATTGATTATAATCCCCAGTCCCCTCCATACATCATCAGTCAACAGTGTTTCTCTCTATCCTCTTTAGCTTTTTTTTTTTTTTTTGGCGGGGGGGTGGGAACTTTGCCTTTTTGGAATTTACAGTCTCGGCTTTTAGGGAAGGTTTTTAC